TGGTCATAGCACGGGCGCGTCCACCTCCCCAGTTTAGGTCTCGGATCTCCTCCTGGCGGGGGCTCCCAGGTTTCCTGGCCACGGCATCCCTAGTTGCGAGGCTGGCTGTGCCAGCTGACCCTCAGGAACACCCTGGGTGAAAGAACAGGGACATTTCTGAGGCTGGGGCTTCCCCCACTGGCCTCGTGGCTGGCCCGGACACAGCTCAGGAACAGACTGAGGGAGGGAATATGGAGATAGCCTGGGCCCGGCTCCTGCTGTCACTCCACCGGTCTCACCCCCGATGGGACTTTGGAACCTGCCTGCTGGGCATTTAATTTTTATCCAAGTGCTTGTTAAGGCTTCTTTGCTGCCAGTGTGACCTTTGGATGGGACGGGAGGAGTAGGAGGGGAGGGGCGGAGTGGGATGGGATGGGATGGATGCCTGCTGCACACCTGCTGGACAATGACTGTAGGAGCCAGTCTGGCCAGCAGAGGGCCCGATGGGAGAGGCAGGGCCAGAACCTGTGGCTGTGGACTTGTGCTAGGCTCTGCCTTGATCCTGTATAAAGGGGAAGAACCAGTGGCATGGTGCTGAGGTGTCCAGACCTGCCCTGTGTCTCAGGATAGGGCATGGGACTGGGGAGACCAACACGGATGGATATTTAGGGTCCTATTCATGGTGGATGACTCTACCCCTGCCTCACCTTCACATGTGCTGGACAAACCCAGATGCCACAAGAGGGTGCAGCTCAGCCTGCTGTGGTCTCCTGGGTGGCAGGTCTTCAGGAAGCCCTCAGACCCAGCCCCAGGCCCAGTGCTGGCTGCTGTCCCCTATTCCCTTCCCCCCTCTCCCCTTATCTCAGACCAGAAGTGGCATTTGCAGCCCTAGATTCTCGAGCACCCCAGTCTACCCTCAGATGTCCAACTCCATGTGGCCAAAGCCAAGGCCAGCCTTCCTCCAAGCTTGAACACCTGTCCAGCTATCTAGCTGAAGCCCACAGAGTTAACCAGGATACCCCCTCTCCTGCTCACTTCAAGCCTTGTCAGTCCATCTGCACCAGCTCCTTCTCATGGCCTCCCAGGCAATCACCGGTTGGACACCATGCCTCTCTGTGGGTGACTATGACAGCCCTCACCAATCTTCTGGCTCTAGTGAGCTGTCAGAGGGATCCTTTAAAAACATTATGGGACTGGACATGGTGATGTGCACCTGTAGGCCCAACTACTCAGTAGGCTGAGGCGGCAGGAGGGTTGCTTGAGCCCAGCCTTCAGCCTGAGTGACAGAGTGAGACCTATCTCTAAAAACAACAACAAATTGTCATGGCACTGCTCAGAACCCTGAGAGGGTTCCCCATTTCGCACTGAGTCAGGTTCCCATCCTCACAACTGTCATAAGACCTCCATGCAACCTTCTCTCCCATGATATACAATCTTGTGCTACCTTTCTGTTCCTGACTGCCATGAGCTCATTCCTACCCCAGGGCCTTGGCACCTGTGATCCTCATCTTCTAGACACTCTCCTCTTGGGTTTGTCCCATTACTTGTCAGGTCTTAGATGTCACCTCCTCAGAGAGATCCTTCTTTGATCTTCTGTTCTCCTTCAGTGTGTCACATCCAGTGTGATCTTAAACTAATGACAACTATCCCCTCTCAGAACATGAGCCCCATGGAAATCGGGCCCCATGTGAGATGAGTGCAGGGTAGGGGGGGCCCCATTCTCCCTTTCCTGCTTGTCCATTTGCAACTCCGAGAGTGGGCGGGGAAACAGGGCTACTCTGGGACTCCAGGAGGTATAGAGACCCCAGGGTAGGGGGCCCACTGGGTTCTGCCCGCCATATACCTAGCCACTGCCTGACCCACCCCACCCTGAGCCTCATGGCTGTTTGAGCTCCCACCCCAAGTCTTCCATGTCTTGTCAGCTTATGAGGGGATCTCCATTCACAGTCACATGAGTTCACACTAGGCTTCCATAGTGCTGGTTATTTTCCAAGGGAAAGGGCCATCAGAGTGCCTGAATCTGAGTCCAGTTGGAACTTGGTGGGCTTGCTGCCAGGCAGCAAGTGTGGCCACAGTTCCAGCCTGGGACACTGGGTCAACACTGACTATCCTTCCACAGGGAATCAGCTGAGCAGGGCATGAGCTACAACTTCACCCACCTGGATAGGTACCTGGACCTTCTCAGAGAGAACCAGCTTTTTCCAGGTGAGTGGCCGGCTCCATTCTCACAGCCCACCTGCACCCTGTTGCTGTCCTGCCCTCCCCTGGACTCAGTCCCCAGGGCCTTGCTGGTTGCTTGCTCAGGTCAGGCCTGGGTGCTGGAGCCCAGGCCTGAGGGTGCTGGTATTGTGTGGGTGCTGGAAGTCCTGTGTTGCAGGATTTGAGTTGATGGGAAGCCCCTCGGGACGCTTCACTGACTTTGAGGACAAGCGGCAAGTGTTTGAATGGAAGAACTTGGTCTCTCTGCTGGCCCGGAGATATATCGGTAGGCAGGGCATGGACCCTAGGGACAGGGTGAACATTCCTTCTTCACCATCCAGGCTACTTTGCTGTCTTCTCTGTCTTGGGCCCCTTTGAGCCAGGGCTTCCTGGTGGGGGAGGGAGGCTGGCCAGAGTGGGAAAGGGCTTGTCTCGAGCCGAACACCCTCCATCCCATCCAAACCTCCAACTGTGGCACTCCCTGGGAGTGGAAGATGTATAACACTCCCCACGCTGAGAGCTGGAGACCATGACGACCACAGGGACACTCCACAGGCAGGTACGGACTCAAGCATGTGTCCAAGTGGAACTTCGAGACATGGAATGAGCCGGACCACCATGACTTTGACAACGTCTCCATGACCACGAAAGGTAGGCTGTGGCTCCTGGGTCCTGCTGAGCAGTAAGGGGGCAGGAGAGCATGGGAGAGGGGCCACACTGCTGGTGGACACGGGCTCCTCCCACCCAGGATTCCTCAACTACTATGATGCCTGCTCTGAGGGTCTGCGCACCACCAGCCCTGCTCTTCGGTTGGGTGGCCCTGGTGACTCCTTCCATCCCCCACCACGGTCCCCACTGTGTTGGAGCCTGCTGGGGCACTGTCACAACGGGACCAACTTCTTCACAGGGGAGGTGGGCGTACGGCTGGACTACATCTCCCTCCACAAAAAGGTGCGGTCACCCTTTGCCTGCCCCGCGATCCCTGTGGCAGCAGCTGGGTGGACAGTGGTGCTGAGGTATTGCCACCGCAGGGCTCAGGCAGCTCCATCTACATCCTGGAGCAGGAGAAGGCCACTTTGAGCCAGATCCAGCAGCTCTTCCCCAAGTTCACAGACACCCCTGTTTACAACGACGAGGCAGACCCACTGGTGGGCTGGTCACTGCCGCAGCCGTGGAGAGCCGATGTGACCTATGCAGCCATGGTGGTGAAGGTGACTGGCGCCCCACCGCATGTGTTTTCACCCCCTCAGCCACCTTCCCCCTGGGCACAAGGGTGGGCGTGGTGGCCACGGCACCAGGTCCCAGCTGCCCTGGACGCCTGCAGGTCATCGCCCAGCACCAGAACCTGCTGGTGGCCAACGTCAGTGTCCCCATCCGCTATGCACTCCTAAGCAACGACAACGCCTTCCTGAGCTACCACCCGCACCCTTTTGCGCAGCGCACGCTGACAGCACGTTTCCAGGTCAACAACACCCGCCCCCCGCACGTGCAGCTGCTGCGCAAGCCTGTGCTCACCGCCATGGGGCTGCTGGCCCTGCTGGGTGAGTGGAGTGCAGATGGGGCGCGCAGGTCCCCTACGGCCATCAGTGCCTTGGCCAGGCGGGGGCGCGTCTTTCAGGCTGAGGAGCAGCCTGCGCAAAGCCCGTGGTGAGAGCAAGGCCCTGCAGCTGGGGTGGGCATGGACCTGCGGAATCGGGGGCGCGCGCTCTCCCTCCGGTGCACCTGATTCTTGAGGGCACGCACCCTCCCCTCCACCTCCCTGTGGGCTGCGGAGGTTGTGTTGTGACGGGGAATCCCAGTGGGAGTCCTCTTCCATCAAAAGGAAGGGGAGCAGACGGTGAGAAGCCGCTGTGTGACACTCCCAACCCCACGCCCGCAGATGGAAAGCAACTCTGGGCCCAGGTGTCACAGGATGAGGTGATCCTGGACAGCAACCACACGGTGGGCGTCCTGGCCAGTGTTCACCGCCCCACGAGCCCCGCAGATGCCTGGCGCGCCACCGTGCTGGTCTACGCAAGCGACGACACACGTGCGCACGCCAACCGCAGCGTGTCTGTGACACTGCGGTTGCGCGGGGTGCCCCCAGGCCCAGGTAAGCAGGGTCCCGGGGAAGCCTCTGGAAGGGTGGCCCGGGGGCGGGCGGTGAGGCGAGGCCGGGTGTTCGGCTCCACAGGGCTCGTCTACGTCACACGCTACCTGGACAACCAGCTCTGCAGCCCTGACGCCGAGTGGCAGCGCATGGGCCGGCCTGTCTTCCCTTCCGCCGAGCAGTTCCGGCGCATGCGTGCCGCAGAGGTGGGGGGACGGGGGGGCGGGGCTGCCTCGAGGCCCCACGGAGGATCCCCACCCGCCCCTCACCCTGAGGACCTGCTTTGCCCCAGGACCCGGTGGCCGCGAAGCCGCGGCCCCTTCCCGCTGGCCGCCGCCTGACGCTGCACCCTGAGCTGTCGCTGCCGTCACTGCTGTTGCTGCACGTGTGCGCGCGCCCCGAGGGGCTGCCCGGCCAGGCAAGTGGCCCCCCAACCCGCCGTCGCCCTGACTCCCCCACCCAACCCTGTCTCAGCACCTCCCTCCTGCAGGTCACCCGGCTCCGAGCTCTGCCGCTGACTCGAGGGCAGGTGGTTCTGGTCTGGTCGGATGAGCACGTGGGCTCCAAGTGCGTGATGGGGTATCCCTCCCCTCAGCCCCTCCTGCACTCCGGGGTGCCCTCCTTCCTCACAGTCTGTTTACGCTGCAGTGCCCTGGGTCACTCCGTTGTGGGGTTCTCAGACATGCCTTTCTCTTCATTTCACACCACACCACGTCAGCCATGACATCTTGCCCTGTCCAGTGGGGTGGGTGGTGGGAGCACTTGACAGTGGCAGTGGGGCTCCAGTCCCCTCCTCTTCTGTCATCACAGGAGGATTGCCCAGGGAGGAAAGAGCTGAAAGGAATAGGGCTGCGGGTCCACGCTTCCCTCCCCACCCAAACTAGGAAGGGCTACTCTGGCCCCAGCCCTGACCCCACCTTTGGTCTTGACTCTGATCTCCATAGGTGCCTGTGGACATATGAGATCCAGTTCTCCCAGGATGGTAAGGTGTACACTCCGGTCAGCCAGAAGCCATCGACCTTCAACCTCTTTGTGTTTAGCCCAGGTGTGTCTACCACCACCACCCTGACCTTGACTACCCCCTACCCAATACTGGTTAGGGGTGGGGCCCAGGGCTTTGTGAAACTTGGGGTGAGGGGGCTTCAGGGACTTGGAGCAGGCTCGGGTGGGCACACACCCAAGGACACTTGCATGCCTTTTGTCCCCAGAAACGGCTGTTGTCTCTGGCTTCTACCGGGTTTGCGCGCTGGACTACTGGGCCCGGCCAGGCCTCTTCTCAGACCCCGTGCTATACCAAGAGATTCCTGCACCGGGAGGGCCGTGACACCCGGTGATCCATGAGCTTGTGCTGGCTGTTGAACTGGGGCAGCTGGGAGCCAGGATGGGCTGGGCCTCCTAGGGGCAGCTAGTCATGGGCTGCAGCATGCCCATGCTGCCTCCCCTTGCCTTTAAAGTGTCTTTCACGTGTCTTGGGTGAGGCTTTGTGGACTGGCCTTGGGCAGGTGCGGGGGCTGACCCTGAGGGTAAAACTGGAGGGTGGTAAGGACCCAGCTGGAGCAGAGCTTCTTCCCTCCTCCCTCCCATTCAGAGACCCTGTGGGCAGGAGAAGCCTGGAAGTGGGGGCCTGATCTCATGCTTTTCTCTCCAGAGCCCTCCCAGGGCCTCCCTTGGCCACATGCTTGAGGATGGAGACCCAGAGACCTGACATATTTCCCTGGAGGTTGTCAGGAGCTCGGGGCAGGGAAGGGATGGGGTCTATCCCACTGGCTTCTCTGTACTCCTGTCTTTGGTCTAGCGTGTCATGTCCCCTTCTTCTGCTTTCCCTAAGCCAACACGGACCACTAGGTCCTGCCAGCTGCCGTATCACAGGAGAGAGACATCTGTCTGACCACACTTCCAGCTGAACCCAAGCCATCGCCTGTCTCACTCCTCTCCCCATGTCGGCACCTGGGGACTTGGCGCCCGGGGCGGGGTGAGGTCCATCTCCCTGAGGCTTGTCCTTTGTAACCCTGAGGCCCATTGTAACTACATAAGGGGGACTAGCCTGGTCCTCCTGGCCCTGGTGGAGCCTGGTGTGAGTCTGGTATGAGTCTTGCGCTGCCGTAGCAGATACACAAGCTCAGCCGCTCAGAAATGGCATCATCTCACAGGTCTGAGTTGGAGTCCTGGGTCCAGGCATGGGCCGGCTGCTTCTTCCTGAGGCCATGGGCTGGGGTGTGGTAACTTCCTGCTATGTCCTCACCTGCCTTCTCTCCTTGCCTGTGTCCCAATTTCTTCTAAGGACACAGGGCAGATGGTATTAGGCCCACCCTCATGACCTCATTTTAACTTGATTTTCTCTGTAAAGACCCCATCTCCAAATAAGGACACATGCTAAAGGCCAGGACTCCAGCATGTGAATGTTGTGGGGGACACAATTCAGTCCCTGACAAGCGCCAACTCCGCTGTGGTTGTCAGGTTCATCACCCAGTCTGTCGCCCAGCTACTGGTCCACTGTCCAGCTGGGCCTGTTCTGAGGACACGGTGGGCTGGGGCCACCTCTGTTTCCAGCCTCATATGGGTGGGATCAGGCTTCCCAGTGGACACTGCCCTTCCTTAGACATTAGGACCCTCATTCCTGCTTAGCCTCGGCTGCAGGGATGGGGCAGAGACCCCACAAGGGACTTGCCTCTCATTCTTGGACCTGCGTGTTCTGATTTTTGGAAAAAACAGCTGCACACACATACCATCCCCTCTCAGCACAGATTCCTGGCTGAGCCTGGCACCAAGAGAAACTGAATGTGGGTTGGGCCCTTCTTTTGGAGGTGATATGGCGGTCAACAGGGAGCCCTGTAGCATGCGAGTCGAGGCTCCAACAGCCGATGCTGTGTGCTGTGCCTCCTTCCCCTTACTGGTACTGAACCTTCCCTAGGGCTGAGGATCAAGCCCAGAGTGGACAGGTGGTTGTGACAGGAGGAGATAGCCTTGGCCTGGGATGCTTGGCTTGGTGACGACTCTGGTGTCGGCATCTCCAGGTGCTTTGCACAAGGCCAGGCCGATGTGCTGTCGTCACTTGCAGCAAGGTGATGTGTGTCATAGTCTGGACTTGCCCCAGAGCCTTTTCCTGCCAACATGACCTGTTGTCTGGGTGGGTCAGAGTGGGATGTCCCATTGTGCAAATGCTGCATCCAAGCCCAGAACTCTATGTGGGACAACAATTCAGCTAGCTTTAAATGGGATATCCCAACATTTTCCAGACCACTGGGCCCCCCAGATGTCACCTGAACATCCACAGGGTTTACCCCCCCCCCTCCAGCAAGCACGTGTCTCATTGAGACATCCAGGGTGCTTGTTACCGCTCCCCACCAAGCCCGGTTAGCAATGTCACCCAGGAAGCCAGGCTCTCCTGGACCATGTTGTAACAGCAGGAAGGTTAACGTCACCAAGGCATACGGCAAAGGTAGGCTCTGTCCCCATCATTTAAAGGGAAACAGATTTTCTGTCTCAGTGGAGATAGAGAAAAGAGCATCTGACAGTGCAGCCACTACCCACTGGGCACCAGGGCTGGCCGGTTTCTCCGCGAAGATGCTCAGTCTGTCCAGACCTCAGTGTGCCAGTAGCTCAGCGGTGATCACCGACCTGCACCAACACCCACTGGGCAAAGATGGAGAGCTTGGAAGGAAGCCCCATCTTAAGCTTCTGGTTCTTTATGTTGGCACCAATATCGGCTGTTTTCCCAGAATTGTGGTGTTATTTGGGTTTAGAATGTGGGAGGGGACAGGCCCAGAGTCCCCGTGAGAGCCTCCCCTCCATGGGTCAAGGAACCTGTGTGTGGGTCCTGCTGGTGGTTAGTATGAACGTACCTGCCATCAAGACTAGAGAGCTATCTGCAGGAAGGACCTGCAGAACCCTTGGACTCACCAGCCACTGCCCCGTCTGCTGCCAGATTTCCCTGAGCCCCCCCTTTGGCCAGTGGCATGTGGCGGTCTTCAGGTGGTCAGTTAGCAACAGTTCAGAGTCATTCCCTAACAGCCCCAAAGCCTGGGTGTTTTCCCAGCTGAGTTTCTGGGAAGTGACCACCAGCCTCCCTTGTGTGTGTGGACGGGACTGTGTTTTCACAGAGACCCAGCTGCCTCTTCTACCAAGGGTTCTAGGGCCATGAAGTGGCCGAGGTCTGGGAGCTGGACGAGAGGCCTTGAAGCCTCCTGTGGACCTTCACGTCAGAGTCGTGCTGTTGTCAGACCTGCAGGCTCTGCTTCAAAGGCACCCAGCCACCAGGCACGCCCAGAGCCTGGAATGTCACTGGTCCTCTTATTATTGCTGTAGACCCCATTGGGTACAGTGCCCCAGAAACACATGCGTGCCTGAACCTCCTCAGCCTGCTGGAGTCTAGCTCTGATGTGGTACCCATCTGAGCTGGGGCCTGTGACTCTGTTTCTAATGAGTTGCCATTGCAGGTCTGCAGCCTGGCCTGGCCTCGGCATGTGCAGGTGGGTAAGTCCAGGCCCAGCCTGGTGGCCATTCTCTGTGTCCCAGGAGCTCAGGCAAGCACCTTGGAGCCCAGGCCCAGTTTTGGCCCCCCAACTGGGAGGTGGCTGGCCAGCAGACCCATGTTTTGTGTCTTCTGTAATGAACTTGGATCTGCCCCTGCAGTGCTCGCCTGGTCCCTGCAGGCACAGATTCTCCTGTCCCTGGAGCGCCCCTTGGCCTTGGCCCTACTGGAACATACCTGGGGCAGAGGCATGGTGGCTGTGGTGGATCCTGGACTGGGTGACACCTGTTCAAGCAGCTGTCCCAGCACAGA